ATCAACTTCCATTCTGCATCCCTCAGGTAGAATGAATTTCCCTAATAAAAGGTATACATGGAGCATTCACAATACCACCACCAAACGCAGTCTTTCATACTGATTGTCAGGAAACGGTACTGCCTAAATTCATAAATGATGTGAAAACTATCTGTACTGTAAGTCCTCTAAGAAAGAGTGAAAGCAAAATGAAGAATGACAGATTTCCTCACAGCACATCTGTTCAGAGACTCAGCTATCAAATATGTCAGAAAACTTAATTCTAAATGAATCAAATAGAAGAAAATTTATTAGCACGGTATCAAACAAAAATCAGAATAGGGAGAGATATTCTACTGATGAAAAATTTCCAGTAACACAAAACTGTAACGGATGTATCACACTCTTCCTCTATCAAAAGCTGATTAGGTTCTCATGACAGGGCAGATCAAAGTACATCTGGGGTACAGGAATAGTTGTATTTAAACACAGTCATGCTTATGGATAGAAGAACGTGAATTAGGGAACCGCACTTTAGCACTGGTGGACTCAGACTATAATATACTTCCTTAACATGGTGACTGAAGTACTCCAGCAATTTCTTTACAGATTCCTAATTAGAAATTTGTAATATGTGAATAATAAAGGGAGACTCCATCTTGCAGTTTACAGTAACTAGCTGGCATCCTCGTATCTGAGTGATACACCAATATTTACGTGATGGAGAGATGATCAGTACAGCTCATGCCTCAGGACCACAATAAAGCATTTCTGAACTTTATTAAAGGGACTGTCATCATCAAGTCCAACTTCTGCTCATTCCTCATCATAGTATGTAGTCTGCTTAGTAAGTTTCCTAGCTTTCCTGGATTTGTATATTGCTTGAAAACCCCTTTATGATTCTTACAGGAGAATATTTCCAGATAAGAAACACTGCTTTAAATTCAGTTGCTATTGTTACTATTGGTGGTTTAAAACAGAAATTTCTTGTTTGAGCCTGCGTGAATTTCTGGGGATACAGTGCTGGGGAACGGAAACCTTGGCTCTTGGTCTGCTTTTTGTACTGGATCCAGACCCAGGAAAAAAAGTGAACCTCTCATATGAACAGTCTGGCTGTGATACTTTGAACCAAATAGCACAAAAGTCCTAAAAGCAGTAGACCGTATGCAATGTCTAATTGATTAATCGTACCCCTCGGGTATTTCTGTTATTTTTTAGTAAAAAATAATCATTAAAAAATGATCCCTGAGATTTCGTTTGTTGACTATGAGCCCTGGCCTGACCTCAGCCTTGAATCCAAATTCCCAGTAGAAGCCTGAAATTAATCCATCCCGGCTTAGTTATTAGTAATTATAATTACTAACAGAAGCAACCAGTTGTAAATGAATGGCTTTCAATGGCATCGTGTTTTACCTTAGAATAATGGAAAAACAAAAATGCACTTTCTTCTTACTACACAATAACTTTTCCTGTAACAATACACGGTCTGGTCCTTCTAAGGGCATGGCAAAAGTCCCAAGTCCAGCCATTTGCCTGTATACACAGACATTTGTTCAAACCTTAACATTCCACAAATTATAAACCTAAACAGTTGAAAACTGCTCCTTTTCTGCCAGAGTTCACAGTTCGAAGCTTGCTTTCTCCCCACCTAACTTAAGAGAGCAGCAAACCCTTTAGCTGCTGAGTGAAGACAGGGATGGAGCTTCAAACCCTCTTGGGCACATCAGGAGGAGACATGCAGGAGCACAGTCAGGAGACTGGCAGCTGGTCGAAATGTCATGACTTCTTGTGACATTTCTCCAGTCACTTTTCTTCAAGGTGCTCTGGAAGGAAGAGGTTTAATGGAGCTGAAGGGATAACCTTCTACCTATTGTCACAGGTCTCAAAAGCCAGTGCCATCACCAAAACAGGAATCGGAAAACCTAAACAGCGAATCCAACCAAACAAACTGGCCTGATACAGCAGTGCTGGGAAATCCCATCTTTTTTTATGGCTGTATTGCATGCTGCTCAGCCCTGCTGGAAACCAGAGCACCGAGCACAGCAGTAGGAGGAAGCAACCCTGCAGGGAGCCAAACAAGCCATAACCCAGAGCGGACAATAAGCACAATCAGGGATGGGGCAAGGGTAGGGCAGATGAAAAGTCAGAAACAACAGCTTGGGAAAACATTTGTAAAAGTGCTAAGAGACTAAAGGAAACATCAGTGTTTTTTTTTTTTTTTTAACACAACAGGGACAGAAGGCAAGGGCACAGATTTACAACTGAATTACTGTAGTAATAGGCAAATTATTGCATGTGCATCATAGCAAGTCATGGATCAGCAATTAAGTGCATGAACACCTCTTAACCCATCCCAGCTGCTTTGTTCATGCATCCTCCCTTGAAGTTTAAGCTTCCATGTTTTTCTGACTGGGAGCATGCACTGACTGAGTCACAGCTCAGCTGACACACAATAACTCACTGGACCGTCTGAACTCAAAAACCCAAATGCCCATGGGATTAAGGTTACACTCCTGAAAATTAATTAATTAAACTCTCGGTGAGGCTTTGCCTTGCAAGGCTGGGGTTCTGCGGTAAAATGGAGCAGGTGATCATGTAATTAAAGAGCTTCTCATGGTACACAAAGGGAGACATGAAGGCGGCACAAGCAACGCAGTTCTGCCATCCCCTGATGGGTGGGTTCTTTCCTCACATTGCAATATCTGCTCTCCTTTAACGCAGCCAGTCGAATGCCATGTCTATACTAGTCCATCAATATAGGAACAGGCTTTGCACTGAGGCCTAAAAAAGGCAGTAGAAGAGATAAAATAATTACAGTGGTGTTCTCTGGTCGTTTGGGCTCTTTTGTGCAGTGACTGCTGAGGCTCAGGGTCTCGCTGGACGTGTCCTTCACCTGGACCCTACGCAGTGGTCCAGCGAGCCCCAGACCTCCTCCCTTCTCCCTTAGCTCACCAAAGAAAAACACTAAGATGTTTCCATTGGCTTTTACATCATCTTTTTGTAGAGACTAATCTTCAGTTTCAACAATACATCTTTTGTGAAGCGCTCCCAGCAGAAACCTTAGACACCTTCCCTAAGATCTGTTTGCTTACAGAAGACGAGGTAGGATTTGTTTAAACCCAGCTAGATTAATGTCTTGCAGACATTAGTGAAGTGAGATTTAATCAGGTTATTTCTCTACATTTTCCAGGGAAATAAATCACACTTATTACTAGGTTGGAATAAGATGCAAGGCTTGAGCTGAGAAAATTTAGTCTTTTTTGTTTTTCCTTGGGGGGAGTGAAAGGATAAATTGAAAAGAGCCGCAAGGGCTGTTGAACAGTGAGCTCAGCAAAAAGCCCTCGACAACTTCTAGGAGAGAGAAGAGAAAGAAAGGCATAATATAGTGGTTAGTGCCAGCCCAGCTATGGGCCTCGATCCCCATTCCCCATCTTGCGGAGGTCCAGTCCTGAATATATTCTACTCAAGCCTAACGCTGTAGGCTCCATATCAGTACAGAGAGCATACAGGAGGGCTGAACAGTTTAAAGTGGATTCACAAGGTCTGTTTGAGATCCTCCAGGCAACTTCCCCTGTAACCTCGGGATCTTACTCCTCTTCTGGGTGCGTATCTGTTTCTGTCTGAGACTCAGGAATGTCTCCCAGCAGCAGATGGGTGTTCTGCAACTAAGCAACCTTCACAAACCTACCTTCTTACAGTCCTTAAATGAAAACTGTGACCGTCAGCAGGTTCCCTGAATGTGGACATATCCCGCTGCAGCCATTTCTCAGCTTGTGATAGCTATTTAATGAAGAACAAGCAATTATACTTTTGCTACTCACCCTAGACAGTTTTATAAAACAAGTCTGTCTAGGGAAAAAAAGAACAGCTTTTTTTGCAGACCTTTGATTTTAAAGCTGCTCTTCTTTTTATTCAAAAACAAAAAGACTTTCCTTTCAGCTCTGCTAATAGTGCTTGCTTTAGTTCAAATTTTAATATATCCCCTTGTACAAAACAGTATACATGTAAGGGAGAGAGTCTGAAAACTCAAAGTGCAAACATCCTCTCTTCTGCACCAGCGAGGAACTACAGGGCTGACCTACAGACAGCTGAAGTCAATACAAATCCTTCTACCAGCTACAGGTTCTGCATGCGCTAAAGTGGCCAAAAATCCAAAGCAATTTTATATTCATTTCCCCTTTTCCAACTGGCTGTGCAAACAGTAGTGAAAACAAATTACAGTAACACAATCTGCAATCAAGTTTCAAAACACGCAACAAAGCAGAACAAAACACAATGGAACTAAGTCAAAATCTTACTGAGGAGCACAATAAAATATATCCTGTTCGGTATAAAGGAGAAAAAGAAGTATCAGGCGAGGCAGCTCTGTTGCTCGTAAATATCCCCTTGCCAATGCTTTCCCCGGATAAACTAGTTCTCTGAACCCTGACTGTATCAGTGTGAATCAGACTGTCTCTTCCAAGGTGAACGCCATGATTCTGTTCTGTGTTCAACGGGAACTTCTTTCCCAGCCTTTTCTTAGTTTCCTGCTTATAAAGAATAGACTCTCCAGAGACAATTTTGGACCTGGACCACGATCTTGCTCCCGTCAGATAACTAAATATCTCTGGGCAGGAGTACATTTAAAGAAGCAGCTGGTAATTATTAGCTGAGTGCTCACTGGCAGGATTTCCCCCTGCTACTGAGCCAATGCTTTGGGGAACTAAATGGCTCTTTGGTGATAATTATCAGGTAGAACACATAAGCCAGGGGAGGTTCCCTCCTTACAACCATCAGCGAGAAACAATGCAAAAGCGGGTGGAGGAGGACCGAAAGGTGCGTCTGAGGGTTCCCTTGACTCCCCTGTCCTCCACATACCCAACAGGGCTGTACATAGTTGCATGGGCATTTTCGAGGTAGGGTTTGAAAGCTACAGAATTTCTTCCCACACCTGCAGAGGCAATGAAACCAAATGACCTTCTGCTTCTTTCTGTCTAATCAGAAAGAAGTGAGCAGCATTGGAAATCCAGCACAGCACTTACTCTTTCGGAGGGTTAAGGTCTTCCGGGCGAGCCTCGAAGAACCTGAAGACTTCATCGCACTGTGAAATGTGAGGAGGAAGCCTAACCAGTGCCTGCGAAAGAAAACAAGCGGGAGGGAGAAGCAGTTAGAAAAATCAAGTTAAAAACATGGCCTCGAACATCTCAATTACAATACAAAGGGAGGCAGAACCGTCTTGACAGGGGGAAGGAAATCAACAGGGAAAGTATCATGCCTGGCTACTTACAAAGAAAGGGAATAGCATGTGCTGACTGCAAATGAATTTTTCCTGAATTTAGACAAGCGATGGTATGTAGAGGCAGCCAAAGTAATTTTTTTGCCATGTGTAGAAGAGGAGTATTTGGTCCACATGTGCAAATCCATTATACTGAGCAGATAAGCGCTCTGTGGCAGGGCTAGTCTCTGCGACGTGTGTTTTTACAGCACCTCAAACAATGCAGCTGGGGCTTATAGGCTCCATTTCAATACACACAAATTCTAATAACGAAAATCTACAGACTCAACACACACTAATACAACAGATTAACGTGCTCCCAAAGGCTTTCCTTTAAGCACTGTCAACAGAAAAGGCAGGGCTTGCAAAAAAAAAAACCCCAAACTGCAATACGCTCCTAAGTCAATAGGAAAGGAAGCGTGATTAACTGTCTGCAAAGAAAGGCACAGAGGGTATTTCTGCCCAGCGACGGCTTCGCCGCAGGGCCTCGCGGCTAACGACGGTCACGCGGCGCCCTGCGAGGATCAGACACGCCGCGTTCGTCGCACTCAGCAACGGCAAGCGCCGTTTGGGAAGGAAGCCCATTGCGCTGCCGCGTACTGGAAAGCAAGCCTGCAGCCCTCGTGTCGCCTCGCGTTGCTGCCCGTCTCCTCGTGGGCGGTGGGGTGGCTGCTTGGCCTCTCCTGGCACTGCCAAGTCGCCGTTCGGACTCCTCACAAGGAGACGGGAGCAACGCGAAGTGACACGACGTGGAGATTTACTCGAGAAACGAACAGCAGGAGAGGACAAGAGGCTTGGACTTAACCTCCTCCTGTTCTAAGTTACGCTGAAAACAGGCCACAGGAGCGGTTAAATATAGACCAAGCTTCTGAGAGGTGCTGTAAACCTGTTTGACTAAATAAGATTGTCTGGTTCTTTTACTAGTTGAAAGTAGGACAAACAATCTTGAAAGACGGATGAAAAGCTGCACCAGAGCTAAATGAAGGTGCATTAGGGCGAACTGGTTATACTAACCCCTGAGACACCTGATTGGTTTCGGTCAGACGCACACAAGAAGGCCCAGCCAAAGCACTAAGGCAAGACAGGGCAGTTTGTACAGCTTGCTTTAACCCAGCTTTAGAAACAGTGGAGTTTGCTTCCAAGACCGTGCCTGCGTGGGGACGTGAAGGAGAACTGCTGAAAAATGAAAAAATCCTGCTCTGAAACAGCAAGTCTCCACTGGCAGAGGACAGGGTCCTCTTCTGAGGTGGCCCTGAAAGGCAAAGCTGAGTGCTTCCAGACCTATAGTTCTGCTTTCCCTGGCTAAGGGATGTTGTATAAATGCAGAGAAGTTTCATCTGATATCAGCAGGCCTACAAAGAAGGAGGCACTGACCTTTGGTCATGTGCAGCACTATAGAGCAGAGAGAAAGGTCTTGCACTAAGGAAGCAGCATTAGATGCAGAAGCCTGGAAATAGCCTGGCAGGTCCAAGTGCCAGGAGCGTTGCTTACAGGGCACTGCTGGTTCCTACACTAATGCAGGATGAAACATAGCAGATGGAAAACTAAAGTGCTTTATTCTGAATGAAGGATGCCCTCATCCCCGCTGCTATCCACTCAATCTTGCTATCTTGCCTAAAAACATAACAAAGGTGTGAGCAGTCTGCCCTTACTCCTACTGTGTATAAATACATGCATCCAGCTGGCAAATCAGGACTAACTCTGGGAAGTCAGTAACTGCCCAGGAATAGTAACAATTATGGCATGTTGAAAGAGAAAGAGAAAAGCCTCGCCAGCACAGACATAACAACGACACAGGCAACATTAAAGCAGGCTTTATTCAGCTGCGTGGCAAGCAGGAAACAAGCTTGTGCAGGGCACGGAGGCCGTCCCACGGACAACCTGTGGGGCTGAGATTTAGTGACGGCTCTATTACTAACGTCCTTCTCACTTTGGGTAAGTTACTTGACCTCTTTCCATCAAATTAGGCAGGGAAATGTCTTCAGTTACCTGTTTACAATACTGAGCGCTAACACTTACCTAATCTGCAGAAGGGTTATGAGTTTCAGCTATCTAACATCTCCAGTGTGTTTTGAAACCTTTAAGGGCTTGATCTTGTGCGCTCAATGGGGCAACAGCAAGCACTATAAATGACATGTATCGTCGCGAGAGAAACATGAATACCCAAGTTAAATGCATCGCAGGGGGATCCTGGACATCGGACACCTTCTCTAAGAACCGTCACTTCCTACATGTTGCAGATGTTCAACCTTCCTAACAACCAGGCTGCAGATGTCAATACTGAACTGGAGCACGGAGTGGGTTTCCAATGACATAGGAGCACAAATGCTACCAACCTGCCATGTAGATTTGGGTTTCTAAACCCATGGAAGCTTTAGAAAATCCTGCCCTATGAATCAGTGGTCCTGTGCTTCAAAATCTCCAAGTGTATTAAAGGGAGCGCCGCGGTCCCACTGGGCTGAAGGTGCATAATTGCAAAGCATGTCAGCAACTCCGGGCCTTCACAGGCAGGGAGCAGTGGATAAAAATCCACCAGCTGAAGCTGTCTCCACACCCAGCCATCCACCTCACGCACCCACCCCACCGACACGGTGGCCCTGGGGCAGGGCTGGCTCCTCTGCTTCTGAATCACCTCCCAAAGTGCTGCAATTTTCAGCCCAGCGCACTGCACTGAAATGAAACCCGCCCGATATTAACTTGCCATTGCATGTCTTTCTGGGAGTCATGTCTGGAGCCTGTCAACTTTTAGTCGTTCTTGTTAACAAACAAGCCTCTAAAAAGGGGTAAGAAATGCTAAGAAAGTGCAAAGAGAGTGTAAAATGAGGTAGAATTAGTCTACTGATTTTGGAGAGTGGCAGGCGGCAGCAGCGTTGTTTTCAAAATCAAACCTCCCCTCAGCAAACACCCAGCATCCACCCACTAGCAAGCCAAGCGCAATGCAACTCCAGACAGTGAACAAAAAGTGCATTGAGGAGACAAGTGACACTCTGCTGTCACTCCACAAGGGCAAGAGGCAAATTTCTACCATCTCCGGGAAAATGGTTTCAGGACAGAGCTACAGCAGCCTGAAGGGAAGACGGCAGGATCAAGGAAAGAAGGGAGAAGAAAAAGAGGAAAACAGATGGTGAAAGGATGAAAAGGATAGGGAAGTGACCTTCTTCGGGGGACTTGGGAAGCAGAGGTAAGTATACACGGCTACAAAGAGCAAGTGTCCACAAACAGCAAGGAATTTGCATAGGAAAGGTGAGACAGAAAGCAGGCCAGCAAGCAGAATTCAGCCTTGCACAACTGCCGAGTATTATCAGTAATAGCATGTTTACTTGCTCAGCATGCAAAGGCAGACGTGCACCGCTCAGACCTCACACACTCCTCCTAAAAGATAGGCTTTTATGTGCTATTTCAGCCAATAATGATGTCTCTCTCTGTCTGAGAAAATCTCGCAGAGGATTGGCGATACGAAAGGTTATTAGAACAGCCGTAACATTGGGGCGTTAGCAATCAGCCCACAGCGCTGCCAACATGCGGCTATTTGCACAGCGCCAGCTCATCTGCAGGCAGGCCGCTGCACGTCGTGCACGGCACGCAAAGCAACGCAGGGCACCAGGCCCAGGCAGGGGTCCATTGCTCAAGGTTACACGAACTGCAAACAGCTTAGTGGCAACACATCACAGCTAGAAGGCTTCACGAAACGTATGCACAGCGCTCTAAAACCCTGCGTGTGCTTGTAAGTATACACTGACAGCTGTGTGTTGCATTTATGCAGATACGTTTACAACAAACAGACACAGATATATTCACACAGGGATACACCGGGTGTGTGTAGGTGTGTGTATACCTACGTGTAGAATGATATTCACCCCACTGAACTTGGTGTGTCTAAAATCAGAGACCGGTCACACTCGTCTAGTCAACTTCTACAGTCACTAGAGAAAGACCAGCACCTTCAGCGGGTGGTTCACCTACCCCATTGCGGATATTTAGCTGTGGCTGGGGTGAATCACTCGCTGTCCCTCTCCACAGCCTGGTGAGGGAGTCCAGCTAGGCAGCTCTTAGATCCCTGGTGTTCAGTGAGGTTAGCCCCTGCTCTGCACACAAGTGTACAGACAGCTGACAGAACTACATGGTTATGATTCCCTTACATGTCATTTTAAATATCCCGTTCTCATTTTAGTTAACCTAAATCATTTGTGCCAGATGTTTGGGAAGAGCCGTGAGTCCAGCAAGGGGGAAGGTGCAGTTAAAAGAGTTCATTTCTCAGAATAGAAAAATAAATTGTTTTACCTACGTAAAAACAATTTCTACCCCTGTTTTCTTGAGAGCCTCAAATAACTCCAAGATTGAGCCCAAGGAATTGAAATTTGGAGGCCGGCTGGCAAACACTGACAGGCAGAGACTTGGATGAGGAGTGCATATTGGTGGCTCAGACTGGAGAAGGGGGGAGATGTAGGAATAAAGAAATTGCTGACTGGAAGAGGAAGAGCAGGTGTAGAGCTTTTCAAGCTTGGACATAACTGGGACATGGGAGAGCCTCTGACAGGAAAGGAACATAAGGCACCAGAACACAACGCCCTACTCCGGGTACTGAGGGGGCATTGCAAATAATTAACTCGCATTACAGAAGCTGACCTAAATGTATCGGGATTCCAAAATGTAAAAAAAATCACAGACAAAGTTTGAAAGCTTTTCATTTAAATATTTTCGCTCTTGATTAGGACTGTTATCCATTTTTATTCGGCACTAGCTTAGCTGTACAGTGGATACAAACATAAACGTCTGTCTATCTGTCTTGACAGGTTCAAGGATTAAAACTTGAAGGAGAGGCAGGCCTGAGAGACCAAGAGAGAGGTAACTATGTTTTGCTTTTTGACGTGTGATCTCTCACATTGTGGACATCACTAATAAAAGATTGACCAGTATTTCCTGGCACTGATGTGACTTGCTCATCATCTAATTTTTATTTAGGTCGTGTACATTTGGGTACTTAACCCTCACTTTAGAGAAGCCCTTAAGCATCTACTTAAAGCCACCTCCAGTCGGGACAGCATTAAGGCATGTGATGAATTTAAGTACGTATTTACGCCCGTGGCACTTTACGTGCTTTAGAGTCCCCCTGAACTAAGATGCTTCCCTAAGTCAGGACCTAAATGCACAAAGGTGCAAGTCTGCAAACGCTAGTCTT